TGCACATCAACTCGCAGGTGCAAGCGCGTCGTCTGGTGCCGAGCCTCGTGCCGCTGCTGCCCGCCGTCGCCGCCGCCTCGCGGGGTGCCATGCCGGTGGTGGAGTGCACGTCACTGTCGATGCCGGTGCTTGAGACAGGCGAGCTCGACCCGGCGCTGCTGCGGGAGTGCCTCAAGTCTCTCTCGCCCATCCGCATGGGTTTTTTACGATTGTTAGACTTATGGGGTATCGGACGCGTGGTGATGTCCGGGTGGGAACAGGGGCGGCGCGGCGCCATTCCGCAGTAGCAGCAGCAGCGGTGGTGGTGGTGGTGGTGAGTGCGGCGCAGCGCAGGCACGCGGGAGGGGCGTGGGAGAGTAATCAAAGCGGCCGACGCGGCCTTACACACAGAGGGAAAGCAAAGACAAAGGAAAGAAACGAAAAGAAACAAAAAAAAAGGAAACAACAAGCAAGCAAAAACTGTGGCTGTGGGGCGAGGAGCTTATTTGTCCCTTCTGCCAACATGGGAAGGTTTATATTGGTGATGGGGCGAGCGGAAGGAAAAGGAAGATACGTAGTACCACACAGACACACATTTACGCCCGCGAATGGAGGAAGCTGTTCCGTTACTGTCTTCCCATCCCTCCCGCACAGCCTTTGCTCCCATGTGCCCAGTTCCTTTGTACCCGTCTGCGTGTATTCTTTTCACCGCCTCTCTGCTCCTCTTTCTCTCTCTCTCTCTCTCTATTCTTCTAGCTGCCAACCTGCAGCACACGCAACCGAAAGGAAGGCAGTGGACATCAACGCGCAGTTGAGTCCTCAGAGTAAATCTTTCTTACTATTTTGTCTCTTGCGAATTTCGTCACACTCCATTAGTCGCGGCAGCAGCAGCAGATGCCCAACCCGTACCTGGGCAACGATGATGCTGCGCGGTACGTCGGGTACTACGCCTCGTCACGCATGCAGAAGGAGTCCGTGCGCCGTCTTTACGAGGACGGCATCCAACGCCAGCAGGAGTCGCAGCGCCGAGCGGAGGAGGCGGTGTACCCGTCGCAGCCGCGCACGTACCGCTCCCAGAAGGAGATCGACGCGTACGTGAACGAAATGGTCTACGCGGAGGTGTTCCGTCGGCAGAAGAAACTGGCGGAGCTGGAGCTGGACCTCTACAGGCCGCCGCCCACGCGCTACCTGACGGAGCAGGACATGGAGCAGCATGTGCGGCACATGTACGACCAGCAGCTGCGGCGACGCGAGCGACGAGAGCGGGAGCGGATGCGTCGCCTCGGCCTGGAGGCCGCATCGACAGAGCGGGAGCGGCTGCTGCTACAGGAGCGGGAAATCAACCGCGTGCGTGAGGAGAGATGGCGCCCGCCGTCGGCGTACATGAAGCGTGACGACGGGAAGATGCTGCTCGTGTCGGAGCTGGCCGCCATTCACGTCGAGCGGTCCGCCTCGCCACCCACGCCTACCACCGAGACCCCGAAGCGGGCGACAAGTCGCCACACCGACCCGCGGCGGCTTCAGGAACTCGCGAAGCCGCTGCGCGTGACGCCGAAGGTGCAGAAAGAGGAGGACACCTTGATGCCGCCGTTCCGCGTGCTTGGCGATGTCATGAAGTCGCGTAGGGGCAGGCAGTGAGGATGCCGCGTGCAGTGGTGCCATGAGCTGTATAAGAAGCATAGAGGGGAGCAGAAGCTGATGATGATGACGATTGATGATGCATGCGTGTATGTGTAGGTGTATCTGTGTCTGTGTGCCCATCATCACTTGCGCCTGCCACTGTAGATGTTTGACTCCCCCCCCCAATTCACTCTTAGATTTGATGTGGGCTAACAACCAATTCTGTTTGTTGGCATGCCACACAAGTTGCAGATGTGCGGACTGCAAGAGCAGCAGATGGTGCCCGCACCCTGTTTTTTTTTTCTCTCTGTGCTTTATTTGCGCCTGATATTGCCTCGTGCATTCCACACAAGCATTGTGGACGTGCGTCTCCCCACCTTCTCTTGTTATTTTTCCATTCTCTCTTCCTCTCTTTGTGCTTTTGTTTTATGTCTCTCTGTGCGTGTGTGTCTGTCTCTCACCGGCCGCTGCTGCTGCTGCTGGTGGTAGGGGGAAAAACAACAACAACAACAACAACGAGAGAAAATAGAAATTGCTGAGGGGCGAGCAGACTCGTGGGGCCAACTCAAACACCGCAATAGAATCAATACCAAAGGTGACGAGGAGTAGCGAAGGATCATCCCCGCTGCCCAACCCCGCCCTCTCTCTCTCTCTCTCTCTCTTGCTCGCTCGCTCGCACTCACCTGCTTTTCCGCATGCCAGGGCGAACCATCACGTCCATCTGTCTCGTCGTGGAGGAGAGCCCCGTGCCGCTCTACGTGGGCAGGGAGGACGGCTCCGTGGACCATTACGTCTCCCCCGATGCCGCGTGCTGCAGCAGAGCGGCCCTGACATTCTATGGCCACACCAAGGCCGTTACCGCCATTGTGGCGCCGTCGCTCGACGAGGTCTACACATGCTCAATGGACGGCAGTGTACGGCAGTGGTCCCCCGACAGGGAGCTGGACGTGGCGAAGCGGTGCCTTCAGGTGTCGTGGCTGCCGACACCGCTGCGGTGCCTTGCGATGAACGAGGGTATCCTCTACACCGGTGGCGATGACGGCTGCCTCCACCTAATTGAAGGGACGAGGAGTTCCTCCTGGTCGGGGCATAAGGACGCCCTCTCTTGCATCGCTTTTGGCCCAGAGGACTCGCAGCTCATCATCACCGGTGGGTACGACAACCAGATCCGTGTGTGGGACGCCAAGTTAGGCAAGACGATTCGGCTTCTTATCGGTCACCTTAATCATGTGAAGTGTCTTCGCATTGCTGGAGGAGGGGAGTTACTCTTCTCCTTTGGGCGTGATTTGACAATGAAGATATGGCGCCTGCCGGAGCACGGCGATGAGGCAGAAGAGGAGGCGCCTCTCACACCCAGCGAGGCGAACCGCCACGCCACTGTCTCCTTTCAGGAGCCGACGGACAGCAAGAACACCACAAATAACAACAGCAAGACTGCCGAGGCGCAGGAGGCACAGTCGGACACCGAACCGCCTCCAGACAACGAACCCCCAGCGGCTGTGGACCAGTACCGTGCGGCGGCGCAGCTGGCAGCAGGAGTGAAGTCTGCCCTTAAGGCGCGACCTGATCCGCCGATACGGCAGCTGTATCCGGTTGGCACGATTGAGATTCCTGAGGCGCCGCACGTGGTGGCCGCCATACGCGACGAGGCGGCGTACTGCTACGTTGGCACCTCGGATGGATATGTGCTCGGCATAAACGCGCGCGCATTGTCACGGTCAGTGCTGCAGTTCCTCTCGCGCAACGCGGTGCGGGTGCGGGCTGACACACGTGAGACTCGCACCACACTCCGCCTCGCGACGCGTGCTATCAAGCGACGCTGCAAGAAGGCCATCCAGTTGAAGCAGCGGGAGCTACTACGCATCGCCAAGAAGGCCAGGGCGGTGAAGAAGGCAGAGGAGCGGAAGGAGCGCGCCGCTGCACGTGCTGTTGCACGCGCGGAGAAGGCCGCTGCGCGTGCCGCCGAAGACGACGAGGAGGATGAGGAGGAGGATGAGGAAGAAGCGGAAGAGGACCCCGAAGAGGACGAACAGCAGGAAGAGGACGAAGAGGACGAGCAGGAGGAGGAGGACGAGGATCCACTCGCCCTGTTAGACGACACCCAGCGCGAGGAACTGAAGACATTCCGCCAGGAGCAGGAGAAGGAGCGCGACGACGAGATCACGAAGCTGCGCGACGCCGCGACGGAGCGGAAGGCGGTTGTTGGTGCAATCGCCGCGGCCACGTACGACACCGCACGCGATCAGTTCTTCCGGCTGAGCTTCACGAGCTACAAGAAGATCGGTAGTGAGGCAGTTCAGGCGGTGGTGGTGGCGCCAGGAGGTGTCTGCTGCGCTGCCCAGTCGGACCGCATCGTTGCCGTAGACATCACCCCCGGCATCACGTACCTGTAAACAGCATAGCCTGCGTGTGACTTACTACTCTACAGTGATCTGCAGCCAATGTACAGAAGCGCGATCGGTGTGCCATCACTTCACCACACAGGTGAAAACCAAGGAATACTTGAATGTAGTCGTTGACGTGTATCTATTAGTTGCTTTCTGCTTGAATGTCCCCTACAGGGGACTTGGCTGAGTGTGACAGTCCCCTACAAACTCTTGCTGTTGCAGTACATCCATATAATCATTGCCTTCTTCTTTTGTGTATTCTTTATCCCTGTTGTCGTTACATATATCCAAAAGGCTACTGCGTATAGGAGGCACACAAACACACACGAGATGTCGCACCACATCAAGATCCGTGACCTGCGCGAGAAGAGCAAGGATGACATGCTGAAGCAGCTCACTGAGTTCAAGAAGGAGCTCTCGCAGCTCCGTGTGACGCAGCAGCTCAACACGGCTGGTGCTCGCGTGGGCCGCATCCGCATCATCCGCAAGAGCATCGCCCGCATTCTGACGGTTCTCAACCAGAACGAGCGCGAGAACCTCCGCAAGTTCTACTCGGAGAAGAAGCTGCGCTCAAGCAAGCCCAAGGCGCTGCGTGAGAAGCTGACGCACCGCCGCCGCCTGGCGCTGAAGGACAACGAGAAGAACCGCAAGACTCGCCGTCAGATCCGCATGGCCCAGAAGTTCCCCAAGCGTGTCTACGCCGTGAAGATTTAAGCGACATCTAATATTTTATTTTTATTTGCATGTTGCCCTTTGTTTGTTTTTCAAGGCAAAATTATTGTAGTTGTTTCGCCTTGCCCTTGCTGTGGCTACGGGCAAATAGATGCCGACTGCGGCATATGCGTTTGTGTGGGTTGCGCCTCCTCTGATGGTGTCGCCTCCTCTTCTGTGTTTCTCTTTGCGTTTTTCTTTTGTTGTTGTTGGTGCCGAAAGGCGAGTGTGGGATGGACTCCTTTGCTGGCGTGCGTGGTGACGCCGCGTCGCACATCACCCGTATTCTGCAGCTGCACGCGGAGCGAGTGCGTGCGCTGCGCGAGGAGGAGGCAGCCGTCACTGCCCGCGCAGTTCTGCTGGAGCAATTGACCGAACGCCTGCTGAACGGTGAGTTCTCCGCCTCTGGACATTTATCATCCACTCTTCGTGTGGCCGCGGGTGCGGCAAGTGACGAGGCGGACCGGACTGACAGGAGGCCCCTCACACCCTTACCGGTTTCACACGAGGACTACGACGCCGTGCCGCCGCCACAGCCACAGCCACAGCCACAGCCACAGCCACAGCCACAGCCACAGCCACAGCCACAGCCACAGCCACAGCCACAGCCACAGCCACAGCCACAGCCACAGCCACAGCCACAGCCACAGCCACAGCCACAGCCACAGCCACAGCAACAGCAACAGCAACAGCAACAGCAACAGCAACAGCAACAGTGTGCGCCTGCGTCTCTCGTGGAGCCGTTCAACCTCGTCTCTGGTGAGGCTGGCACTTGGAATGAGGGAAAATGTGCCACACCGTCCCCAGTGCGACGCGAGTTGGATGAGTTCTTCCCCATCGTACCGGCTAAGCGACCGCGTCAGCGAAGCTTGCCGCAAGACGCGCGGCGCTGCAGGGCGCGTGGCGATGCCGACGCCGAGAGTATCACACGCACTGTCACCGCCACTGACATCTTGGCGGCTATACCGTGCATTTCCTCAACAGCTGTGCCGCCTGCCACGCTGGCCAGTGGGCAGGAGGCCTCTGAAGGTGAGTTGCGCAGTCACGTTCGTAGCTGCCGCCGACGGCAGAAGGATTACGCCGCAGATGAGGAGATGTACGTGAAAAAGGAAAGTAATGCGGTCGATGCATGCACGCCGTCGGCATTCTGGGAGATTGCATTTCCACATGAACGCTGAACTCCTCTCAGTGTATGGGGAGAGAGAGATGGAGTCTGTTCTCTCATCCTCTGAAGTGTCACAAGCTGCAAACAGTGAAGTGCTTTCAGGTTGGAATATACAGAAATGGTCTGCGCTGCGACTATCGGCTCTTCCTGAATTAGATTTATTTCCCTCTTCTCCCTTCCTACCCTTCCACTCGTCTCGGTTGCCTGGAAAATAAAACAACACCAACAACAGCAATAAGGGTTATTGGTCCTATCATTAGCAAGGTACACATCTCTCTGTGGGGGCGATGATAGGTCAGAATAATAAGCACTTTCTGCGGCAGCGGCAGAAGGAGGTCATTAGGGCGATGATCTCCTCCTCCGTCCCATTGACGTCAACGGGAGGAAGCGTGCCGCCGCCGCCGCCGCCGCCGCCCACTGCCGGTGCGGATGCAGTGATCAACACGGCGTGGCGTCTTCTCATATACGACGATATTGGGCGTGACATCGTCGCACCGCTGCTGCGTGTGGGTGATCTGCGGGAACTGGGGGTCACGCTCTACATGCACATCAGTGCCAAACGCGACCCTGTGCCAGGCGCCCCAGCCATTTATTTCTGTGCTCCGACGGAAGAGAACATCTGCACTATTGCCAACGACGCGGTCAATGAGTTGTACGAGTGGATGTACGTAAACTTCACATCACAGGTGCCACGGAAGGGTCTGGAGCTCTTTGCAGAGAGACTGAATCGTGGCCAACTTCAGAGCATCCGACACATCAAAGTCTTTGACCGCACATTAAACTACGTCGCCCTGGAAAATGATCTCTTCGTCTTGATGCAAAAGAACTCACTTGTGACTCTGAACAGTCGCCACGCAAAGGACGAAGAGGTGGAGGCGCATTTAAATGCCGTTGTCCTGGGTATTTCCCACGTTCTCCTGTCGCAGCAGGTGCTGCCTGTTATTGTGCATAGCAAAACGGGAGCCGCAGAGGAGGTTGCGCGGCGTTTGTCGATTTGCCTCAATGATCATCTCAACGAGCGCACTCTCACACCAGCTTCTTCCGCTGTCCTTGGGCGGCCCTTGTTGCTTATCGTGGACCGCTCGAGCGATCTGGCGACGATGCTGCACCACCCTTTTTCCTACCGTGGATTGCTGGTAGAGGTTGGGAACATGCACTTGAACAAGGTGACAGTGCAAGGAGAGGATGGGAAAGAGTCCTCGTTTGAGATTGACCCCGATCGTGATGAGTTCTACCGTGCTAACGCAAATCTGGACTTCAGCGCTGTCGGTGGCAACATCGAGGCGGCGCTGAAGCAGTACCGTGAGGAGTACGCGACACTCTCTGACACCACATACGGCGGGGAAGACGACACTGATGCCAACTCCATGTCAAAACTGTTGGCAAACGCTCCGATGCTTGGGGAGAAGAAACGGATGCTGGATGCCCACACAAAGATGGCGTACAGCTTCCTACACTATATTCGCTCAAGCCACCTGGATCGCTTTCACGGCGTTGAACTTGGTATTATTCAGCGTGAAGGCATAGATCGGGAGGAGTTTGAGAAGCTCCTGTTGACAGGCTTGGGGACGCTAGAGGACCGCCAGCGACTTTATCTCATCGCCTATCTACTGGATACTGAAAACGAGAATGAGGCTGTGCTGCAGAAGTGTGCCGCGTCCTTTGGTGAGGCGCCGTTCCCGGCTTTGGCATACATCAAGCATCTGCGCAACTGGTCACTGGGTGCTGCTAGCCCCACGTCCGGTGAGTCGAGTGCGGCACAAGGGTTTGCGTGGGGTTTGGCTCAGACACTGGCAAAAAACATTGCAAGTACACTTGGCGCCAACGCAAAATCGGAACTACCGCTTACAAAACTTGTGGATGCGCTTCTACAGGATCCGTCGTCGGCGTCTGGTAGTGGTGCCGGTGCCCGTACAATGGGCGGTGGTAACAGCCTTCGGGCCAAACTTTTAGAGACGGTAGTTGGGTATGACCCAAGGACTAGGAAGCCTGTTGATCTCACCGAGATGCACTTTTCACAGGCCATTGTTTTCACTATCAGTGGAGGTTGCGTGGCGGAATACGACGACTTAAAGACATGGGAAGCGGCGCACCCGCGAAAGGCAGTCAGCTACGGCTGCACAGCGCTGCTAACAGGTAGTGAGGCCCTCCAGCAACTCGCAACCTTGGGTGAGGGAGTGACATGAGCGACCCTTTTTCGTTGGTGTGGATGGGTCGCCGTACAGCCACTTTGCATTCGTTCAGCCAACATTGCTTGGCTTGTACAGGTCCCTTTCTCGCCTTGTGTTTGGGCTCCCTTGTTTTAACTATATGGTGCCTCTGTTGCTGTGTTGTGTAGGTGGGTGGGTGGGGGAGCGGCTCTTGTTGATTATGTAGCCTCTTTCATTTCTGAGCCGTGCTCTTTTTTTTTCTCTTGTTTTGCGGGTGCAGAGACTGTACATTCTCTTTGTAAACGCTAACCCAAGAGATAGGGCGAGCGAGAAAGAGAAATATGCCCGAATTACCATATTGACGGCAATAGGTGACGATTGTTGTGTGCTGGGGAAGCGGGGCTCTCCGTGTCCAAGATGCACGGCATCTTGACGGCGCTGTGCTCAGGTTAGGAAATTCCCCGCTGCGGATGCTGGGTGCCCTGCATTCCTCGCAGCCTGCTGGGGGCGCATGGCGTTATGCCTTCTCCGGTGGCCTATCAACCTCGAGTGAGCGGTGTGGCTCCACCCCCTACCACCGGAGGTAGGAATGGAGAGCGAACAACATTAGCGGCACCTCGCTGCGTATTTTTCGTTGTGCTCTGTCATTTGTGTTCTCGTTAAATGAGTGTCAGAAGATGCTGGGGGCACAACTTCCTCCTTTTTGCGCTCCCGAGGCATCTGGACGGATGCTGAAGTTCACTAATACGAAGTGTCGATACGGATGGGGGTGTAAGAATCATAATAATAATAATGGTTTGTTTCTTTCTTCCACACTTCTCGTTGATTCTAAAAATTTTTAAAGCCTTTTTTTTTTGCCCGGATTCTTCAATTACCTTCAGGATTTGACCTAGGCCGTTTTTTTT